CCCCTAACGAGAATTAATATTTCTCACCCTTGGTAAATAATGATAATAAAAAAACAACTAGGTAAATAATAAGAATAATTCTATAATTTTAAAGATATTCACAGAAACTTTTGTTAACTTAATTATCAACTAGAAGTAGAAAATTGAACACTGGAAATACGCTTGAAAATTACTTGAAATTATAATTAATTGTACAATTGTGACAAATCATGTGTATTCCAGCATTTCCTGCTAATTAACATTTGGACCAGGTAAATTCACTTCTGTGTTAAAAACAATCCTTGTATTTTGAACGCATTCATTACCTTTTTCCACTAAATTATCTCCAACATGGACCTTTTCTAAGACATCATCTTGACTTGCAGAAGTTATATTTGTGGCTTCATTGGGTAAATTACATGTTTGCACTAATTCGGCGATTCTCTTCTTATCAGCTATTGATTCCTCAATATATCCTTCAGCCACTGCAGCCGACTTCCACCCACCGTGCCTTTTCAGGCTTAGTAAGTCTCCTCCGTTTTCAGCGAGAAGTGATACCGAGCTACGTCTTAGAGAATGACCAGGACTCAGGATTTTCTAATTTGAGATAATTAGCCACGACATATGGTACTTTACTAATACTATTGCGCACAATATTTTGTTTAATTTGTTTACCTTTACGGTATAAAATAAATAGTTTTGTAATGTCAGTTGGCCTATTGGCTAAATATTTTTTAATAACATTAACCCATTGTAGCTCAACAACAATAAACTTCCTTGATGTTCTGTTCTTTGAATTGGGAATATTTATTATGATAACATCATCATAAACATCTAAATCGTCTAGGAGCATATTGCATAATTCATCTGTTCTGCAGGCAGCGGCAACACCAATTACCATAACAGCCTAAATATCGTTTCATTAAAAAATTAAACACAATCTAATAATAAAAAAGTATACATTTTTTGATAAATATTCGTCATCAGGAGTTTCAACTATAAATTTGTCAATTTCTTCCTTTGTAAATACTTTTGATTTCTTAGGTTTATAATTATTGTTTTTTTGTTTTAAAAATGCTAAAGCTTGAAAAACTTTGAAATGTCAATATTTTCTTTTATTGCAAGATGAGGATATAAAAATGCTCGGTAAATAATAGCTCACTTCCCACCCTAGGTATATAATATACTATTTTGTACGACTGTCATTAAAAGTGACATTTTTAATGGTTGTCAAGAGCATCAAAAGAAGATGTTTACAAAGTAGCGTGTTAAAAATATTTTAACACTAGTGTTAAACCAACAAAATTATTTTAACAAGCTATATGGTTGCTCTTTGGTATAGGTCCGTCATCGTTAATCATAATATTATTGTGTTTACTTATTTCTCCACTCTCATAGGCATCTAGTTGCCTGTTGTTGTTAAGTTGTCTAACTAATCTTTTTTTTTAGCTATCTTATTTTAACAAGCTATACAATAGCATACTATATAATTTGTTAAAGTAATGTTGTTGGGTTTACTGATTGTTACATAAGGACACATTGCAAAAATAAATTTAGATAGGCAATATTGTGAAATTAATTTTTATATAGCTGAAAATTGTTTTATACACAGCTATAACAGTTGAACATATATTGTAAAATAATAGATAAGGCAAAATTGAATTTTTACAGTAAAGTTGAAATAATTTCAAAAGCAACCGAACTGAATCAATGAACGTTTGCCTAAATTATTTCCTTTTTGAAGATGATCACTTGGTGATCGAAACACGTGTCGAGGTGTTAAAAATAACGATTTGGTGTTGAGAAAAAACTTCAGTAATATTAATTACTACACCAAAGGATCCAAACAGTTCATCATAAGTACCCATTATTCTGTTAAATTCCTAGGCACTCAAATGGATGAGAGTCTTTCTCATCATTACACTATCTTTTCAATAACTTGAGAAATGTACTCAACATAAACTAACTTCCTTTCTTTGATGAGATGTGAAAAAACAGACAGTTTTTTCCCAAAACACTAATCTCTCTCAAAAATATTTACTTTTCAATTTTGACGTCATTTTCCAATCTGACAAAAACGCATATTATTCAATATCTGATCACTGTTAGTTTCAAACGCAATTAATGGGGAATGTTCCTCAATTTGGGTAATTACAGCAAATGAGTTCAATTCATGAGTTTTTCAAATTCACTTCAAAAAGTATTCAAATTGACGTGTTTCAAATGTTGGGTTTTAATTTTTAAGGGGTTTTTTTTCTGCTTCACACATTGGCAACAGCGCTTATATCATATATGAAATAATATATACGTACCTAGATATTCTACTTTAAAAAAGGAAAATTATCTTTTTAAATCAACAATTGAGGCAAAATATAAATTATAGTTCAATATCACCTCCACAAGCCACATGAACAACAGTTGTTTTGTTATTTATTTATATAGAGGAAGATAGGTTAGATGCACAATATGATATTTGGCACAGAATGTCTCGGAACTCGGAACATAAGTAAACAGAACAGCACGCCTCTGAAATATGTCATCTTTGTTTGTCTCATACAGGTAACAGATTAATTGTCCTTTATTAGCTGTAACCGATGTTGCCAAATGGTGAAATAGAAACGAATCCCTTTAAATGTTGAATGCATTATTTGATTCCTCTTTTTTAAGTATTTAAATAATTTTTTAAAGAAAAAGGTTCAAAATGCATTGTTTTAGAGCTCTTTTATAAAAACTACTTGATTTTCGTCAGGAGGAACATTCCCCATTGTTGGTTCTGGTAATTGTAACTTTAATATTAGTTTAACATTGTTGGATTATATGAAAGCAATGTATAACAAATAAAAGTAGTTTGTTCTGCAGAAAATCAACAAAAAAGTACAGATGAAACATAAATCGATTTTTGAATCGGAGCCAACCGCAATAAATACTTGAGTCGCATCCACCAAGGAATTCATAACCAGTTGCATAACGTGCAAAAATAAAGGATACTTCTACTCCTCTCGCCCAACACGAGCTTCGCGTGTTTGAGAAATGTTAACCCACATCAGGATTTTTTTCGTTTTTCTGCGTCATTGGAGCGTCAATCGCGAAAATAGAAAATCGATCAACTGTTCTGGTGCGACAGTCGAAACTTTGTTCTGACGTCACCGTAGACAGACGTTGCCAGAAACGGAAGCTACGGGGCCCGATCGTAACAAAATTGCTTTAGGCAAAAAATTTAAATGTATACGAGGGTGATCCCAGAAGTACCTTGCCCAACAAAAAAAACGCAAATATTTTGGGAAAAAAAAGTATTTATTTTTCAACATAATCTCCTTGCAGCTGTATACACTTTTTCCAGCGACGTTCACTAAGTTGGATACCGTTTTTATAATAAGAACTGTCTGGCTCCTCAAAATAGCCATTAACTGCCGACATCACTTCTTCATCGTTGGAAAATCTTTGGATAACTGAACCATTTTCTCAAGTTTGAGAACAGAAAATAATTCCAGGGGGCTGAGGCCCCCTGAAAAAATTGAATACTTCCGGCCATAATGTGAGCTGCTGTGACAAAACTCTTCAGAATTGGATGCAGAAACTAGGATTTAGATTCAAAATAATAAACAAACGTCAAGCAGTTATGGAAAGCAGAAGAATAGTGGAATTGCGTAACAAATACTCAGAACAAATAACTAAGTATAGACAAGAACAATGGCAAATTTTCTATTTGGACGAAACCTGGTATGACACTCACGACACAGTTACGAAAGGGTGGACCGATGGTTCGATAATGTGTACGCCTAACATGCCTGCAAATAAAGGATCGCGACTAATCATTGTGCATTGCGGAGTAAGTAAAGGATGGGTTCCGAAATCTTTGAAATTATGTGCAATGTTGACTATCATAAAAACATGGAAGCTAATATTTTCGAGGAATGATTTGAAAATACATTGATCACAAATTTGGATGCGAATAGTGTTATAGTTTTTGACACTGCTTCCTATCATTCGCGACAGCTCATCAAAGTACCGAATAAAAATTCTAGGAAAGATGAAATACAAAGTTTTGTAATGGATAACAATTTGTATTCTGAAGATTACTGTACCAAAAACCAACTAGTTGAAGTTTTACAGACAAAAACATTTGAAACATGGTATGCCCTTGAGATTATTGCTGAAAAGTATGGACACACCATACTGAGACTTCCCCCTATTTTTGTGTTTTCAATCCCATCGAGTTGGTTTGGGGAAAAATCGAAACTAAGCATTAGGCGTTAAAATAATTTTCCAAACTTTGAAGAAGGTAATAGAGCTAATTAAAGAAGAAGTCTTTTACAAGAACTCTGGCAGAAAGGGATTAAAAAAGTAATTTTAGTTGAAAAAGTCTATATGGAGATTGCACAATTCCATATTATTGGCGGAAATAAATTAATTATTGATTTGAAAGACGACAGTGATAGTGAAACAGATAGATATGGAGATATGGAGCTACAAAATACATGACATCAAAATTAATAAAACTTTTGAAGCAACCTGATACTCGAGGGAAGTGTAAAGATGAAGTATAATATACACACACTTCTCCTAAAATCAGTTCGGGTCCTATTTTGTTTATGAATTTGTTATTGTCGGTATGTTCTCCGACAACACCAAACAATTCTAATTAATGTCAATCATCTCATTAATTTCAATGGGTGTTTATATTTTGCAACGACCTCTTACCTTATTAATGTGGTCAATTCTACGATAATCTTAATTTTGTTTTTATTTAAATATCTGTCTTCTAATAAATCAAATGTAAGATTCCGCACCAAATGTCTTCAACACTTTAAACGAATGTTTATTTTCATTCGACAATGATCGCCTCAAACTAATTAAAAAAAAATATCTTTTCAGTCCATTTGAAATGTTCTCATAGAGAATCGTGTTCAACAATGTATTAGTTGTGACTCAGGTATAATATATTATTTTTTCAGTTTTCATTCATACTTTCAGGTGTTTTCCTTCGCGCGGAAAAGTAATTTTTTTCATTTTTATTACAGTGAGCAGACTACATTGCGAGAGCGAATCATTCAAAATGGATCTGATTTTGGACATCAACTCTTGGTTATACCCCATGGAGTTGGGTGAGTACTACTTAATTTTTTTGGTTAAAAAAAAAAGACATTTTTTCTTGCCCCGTGCTAGATAAAGGAATAATTACTAAATAACCCCTAATTTAAGTACACTGTGGCAGTGAAATAACCTTCCAAGTTGGGTAAATCACCACCAATCAAATATGAACAAAGGCTTTATACGTATTTATTACAGTATAAATCGGAATTTATTTTTATTGATCAATGAAGCAAAACATGCTGCTATCGAGAGGTCCAATGATACAACCCCGAGGAACTCCTGATAAAGTTGAATTCAATATATTGTTTATTTGCTGGGTATTTCAGTGTAGATTCAATTTATGTCTACAATGACAATACTGGCATGTTCTTTCACCTCGATACCCCCGACTGAACTCCACTGAATCTTTCTTCCAGAACAAATATAATTTACAGTGATTTAAATCGAACGTTGTCAAAGGAGTTTTTTGACATCTGTCGAAGAAGTAAAGAAATATACAATCAAAAAGGAATAACTGCGAATATATAGAATTTTTTTGGTCAATTCCTGAAGACGGAGGCAGATTTTGGCCTCCGAAACGTAAAAGATTGTGGAAGGTAACAAATACCCAAAAAAGATCAATAAAAAACTTTAAAAAATATTTTTAACTTTTTAGTTCGGTGTTCTTTAAACGCGTGTTTTTTAGTTTTTTTAAACTATATTCATTTATCACTTTTTAGTCCGATTTATTGTCAAAAATATTTATTTTTTTTTAACTTCTAGTCACTAGTATTATAAAACTTTAACAGGCGGCAAACGAATGTAAACTTCCTGTCAAACAACATAATAAAGTTTGATGTCTCAAATTCTATAGTAATACTGAGATGCAGTAATTCTCCAACAGAGGGCGGACAGTTTTTAGGTGTACAATTTACGATGAAGTTTTCATTGTTGAAATCCATATTCTGGTTTGCTTTCAAATAATCCAATTAGATTTTGAAAGGTATCTTCAGTTTCGTTCAAAACTTTTTTCTATACTGAATCACGGGATCACGGGTAATTGTAAATCTGTATACAAAATTTCGCTAACACTTATAATTCTTAAAATATGTTTTTTATTTTGATTTTCTTTTGAACAACCTATCAAGGATGTTACGTACACCGCCATCTGCCTGCGAATAGATCAAGCAATAATGCCGATAATTCTGTCAATGAGTCAATAAGGCATTTTATCTTCTCTAGCATTTTATTGAAGTTAGTTGGGAATTGAGCCACAATAAACCCTTACGGGTTGCGGTGGAAGGTCGGATTGACCCACTCACTTTGACCTAGTTAAGAATGGAAAGACTGGTTTATAAAAATTTCTGTTATTCAACTGGATAAGAACAATGAAATAAAAAAAATTGTATTCAGTGAAATTCGATTTCGTTTTATACCATTATCAATGTTGAATTCCTAAGGAGGTTGAATTCCTAAGGACCTAGAATCGCTGCTGCTGTCAGCACTGTAGCTGTCATAGTAACTGTGACCTTGTAAATTTCTAATCGAGTAGATTATTGAGAGAAGTACTTGTCGAAGCCCTTTCGCATTGTTTTTTCCACTCTCCCTCAGAAAACTATATGAAGAATCCACGCGCAAGCCTTCAAGAACTTTGAATTAAACTTCACGATTTTATCAGCTCTATATTGCTTTAGTAATGCCAATACTAATTCGATGGGGTTCAAATCGGGACGATTATAAGGCCATCTAACCACTGTGTGTCCAAGATTTTCTATTACCCTGTCGATTTCATATACTTTGAATTGTAGTTTGTAGATTTCTACTATGATACAGAGCAATTTCGAGCATTTCTGTGAATTGTATATTGAGTCGTCTTCCCTTCCATTGTTTGTCCTGTTAAAGCTGTGTGTTTCAGTTTAGAACTGAATTATATCTTCACTTCACATATTTTTGTTGCTTACTGTAATGCCAGTGCAAGCACTAGGAGAATATTATCACAACTGAGCCTTCCCAGCGTCTTCTAACGCGTATCTATTCATGCCATTATATGTGGAATATGGCATGGGCTCATTCGCATACAAGTGCCGCTTGAGAAAATCCCTATAAGAAAAAGTCCAACGGGGTCAAATCGTACGATCTCGGTGGCCAGGTCAAATCACCCCCACGTGGCTCCAAGATGGCGGTCATCAATTATGAAAGTTCGGAAGGCCCTAAATGTGTAAATTTTTTTTCGAGCAACCATACTTTTTCTACTACTGTTAGTCAAATTTGTCCTTCATTGCGGAATAGTTTGTTTTCATTGAGGGATAATCAAATTGGTAATATTTGATGAATATCCGAAACTTGAGTAACATTCTCATTCGCCGTTCCTTCTCGAAGTCGTAACTCATCAATTACATTTTCTGTGAGATGACCTAGCTTCTGCAAGCTCTACGTTTTGTTGGTTTTCAGTCTGGCTGTCGTTTTTGTTCGCTATTCATCTGAGCGACAAATATTTACCGTCTGCACCACTCACTTTGCAGCTCGGGCAAACATTCACATTTTTTTTTGTGTTCTATTGTAAATATAAACATCCGATCGATGGTCGACAGTTTAGGAAAATCTCGTTTTGTTCGCCTTTTATTGTTGTCTTCTGTGTGAATATTCTTCGGGATTGAAGGCCGTGGATTTTTGGAATCTCTTCCTGACGTTTCGCTGGCTAGATTCTTCAGAGGTTTAGACGTCTTGAGTTAATATCACCGATGACTGGACATTACGGCTACGTAACGCGTCAGCATAAATATGCTGACTCCTCAAGTAATGAGTTATTTTTTGCTGGTATCTTATTGGCAACACTGTTTTTGACAGATCACGCGTGAATCGTGTCTTGTGTCATTGTCAAACTTGTTAAGTTTGGTCTATAATTCAACCATGAATCGACTTACGAATGAACAACGCTTGCAAACTATTGAATTTTATTATCAAGATTCGTGCTCGGTGAAGAAAGTGCATCATGCACTTCTTCCATTTTATGGGCAGTTCCGTCGTCCTACTGAGGGAGCTATTCGGAAGCTTGTGATTAAATTTCGAACCCAGTATACATTATTGGACATTAAACCACCAACACGCACACGTAGGACCGAAGAAAATATTGCGGCTGTATCTGCCAGTGTTCGTGATGACCGTTGAACGTCGATTCGCCGCCGTTCGCAGCAATTGGGCCTCTGTTACTCCACTACGTGGAAAATTTTGTAGAAGGATTTGGGTGTTAGACCTTATAACATACAGCTTGTGCAAGAATTGAATCCACACGACCTCCCACAACGTCTAACACCAAAATGGAAGAATTGGACATGCCTGACATGTGGTTTCAACAAGACGGTGCCACATGCCACACGGCACGCGAAACAGTGGCCCAATTAAGAGCTCCTTCGGTGAACAGTTTATCTCACGTTTGGGGACCGTCAATTGGCCGCCTAGATCGTGTGATCTAACGCCTTTGGATAATTTCTTGTGGGGTCTTTCAAGGCTCATGTCTACAGGGATAAACCATCAACGACTGGCGCTCTGGAAGCCAGTTTTGAAGCAGTTATACGTGAAATATCGGTCGATATGTTAGAGAGATGTGCCAAAATTGGACCTTGCGCATGGGCCACATGAAATGTGTAGTCCTATAAAACATATAAACATCTCCACTGAACATGGAGTATTTCCTAATATCTTGAAAATGGCAATTGTCTCTCCTGTGCATAAAAGAGGAGACTAAAACCTGTACGAAAATTACAGGCAAATTAGTCTACTCTCAAATATTTCCAAGGTTTTTGACTTGAATATCAAAAATTAGTTATTGTCTTTTTTCGCAAATGATAAACTTCTTTCCCCAAATCAACACGGATTTACTAAAAGTAAAAGCACAGAGACAGCACTTTACCAATCTAACGACCATATAATAAATGTACTCGATGGCAAATTATGTATTTGCGGTTTGTTCGTAGACTTTTCAAAAGCCTTTGATTATGTGAACCACGATCTGCTACTACGGAAATCGCAAAGATATGGTGTAAGGGGTGTTGCCTTGAATTTGATGAGGTCTTATTTAGAAAACAGAGTTCAGAGCGTCAAGGTTGGTGATAAACTTAGCAATTTGGCTAATATCAAACATGGGGTACCTCAGGGTTCAATTCTTGGGCCTTCACTATGCCTGATATATGCAAATGATTTGATGAGTTATTTTCATGATATGATGACAGTTCAAGTAATAACGTATGCGGACGACACAAACTATATCATCAAAGCACAAGATGCATCAAATTTAGTAGATCGTATCCAAATTGTGTATGAAAAGGTGCAAAAATGGGCAAAAAATAATCACCTTGAACTCAACATATCTAAAACTACGCTGATGAAATTCACAACGAGCAATGTTCAAAAAAAAATTTTTATATATAAAAACGAAGATCGACAAATTGAATCTTGTGCAACCACCAAAATGCTAGGTCTAACTCTTGATTATAAACTTACTTGGACTCCTCACATAGAACGATGAATTATAAGAAAAACCCTTTTCTCTGTTCCGTTTGTATTCCGAACATTGGTAATGGAATCGAATCAGATCTCATTCACAGGATTACTACACAATATAACCAGTGAAATAAGTAAAAATTCACTTATATGGAACATTGTAATCCTCACTGCACAGCTTTGTATAGAGTTGACTTTTGAAATTGATTGCTTCTCTCCTTTCTTTGGAAGGCTCCCAAAGTTTTTGTATCAAGATGGAGTAGTAGAAGACCCAAAAATTAATACACCCTATCAATTCAAATCTCGTGATATATTTTTGAAAATAAAGTTTGTGAAGTAGAGAAGTGAACGTACATATCTTGTTTTTCGTTCCATATGTGAGTAGTTCGTTTATTTTTTCTCGATGGACACGTCAACAAAAAAGAACCGCTACAAGAGCTCTCTATCCACTTGTCAACGGTATCACCGCCAATCACATTGCATTCCCTGTCAAACGTCAAAACACCCTAAATGGCAGCCACCGGTCTGACCC